TGGCCATGTCTGTGGGGCATTTTCTTGATTGTTGAGTGATGTGGGAGGGCCCAGCCCACTGTGGTTAGTGCCACCCCTGGGCAGGTGGGCCTGTGTTGGGTAAGAAAGCAGGCTGAGCAGGGGCCAGGGGAGCAAGCCAGTAAGCAGCATTCCTCCATGGCCTGTGCTCCAGCTCCTGCTTCCAGGTTCCTGCCCTGAGTTCCTACCTTGGGCTCCCGGATGAATTGTGACCTGGGATATGTAAGCTAAATAAACCCTTTCCTCCCCAAGTTGGTAGTGGTCAGAATATTTTATCACAGCAATGAAGAAACAAACTAAGACAATATATAAGTAAAAAAAAGACAGGGTCCGTCTGGATAGCCAAGAGTAAATGACAAACAAAGCTCCTAAAAAAAAAAAAAAAAAAAAAAAAAAAAAAAAAAAGACAGGGTCTTACTATGTAACCCTGACTGACCTAGAACTCACTATATAGACCAGGCTGGCCTCGATCTCCGTGAGATCAGACTCTCTGCCTCCAGAGTGCAGGGATTAAAGGTGTTACCATGCCTGGCTTGATAATGAACTTAAAAAAATTATCTTTTATTCATTTATTGCTGGAGGCACATGCCATGACACACATGTGGAGCTGAGGACAACGTGGAATCAGTTCTATCCTTCTACCATGTGGGTCCTGGGGCTCAAACTCAGGAACCATCTCACCAACCTGATGATGCTCTTTTTGTCTCTTCTCCCTGCCAGTATTTCTACTCAAGCTGTGACTATATTATCAGTGCACAATTCTGACACTTGGTGTCTGGGAGACTGCCAAATAAGACAAAACAAAAATCCAGAACACTCCTAAGCCACATTGTTCCATACACAGTTGGGTTTTTTTCTTTTCTTGTTTAGCCAAGGATGACCCTGAACTGCTCCTGATCCTTCTGCCTCACTTCTACCCCGGACAGTTGTTTTCATTGAGGCCCTTAATTTCACCTTCACTGCCCAAGGCCATGTCTACTGCTCAATTGGTTCTCATTCAGCAAGAAAGAGGCGGACTATTTTGTGTCTTTCCCCTACCCCCCACCCCCACCCCAAGTCTCAGGCAAACTCTTATAAAGACTTGGTGAATGCAGGCAGTGGATACTAGTAAGGCATGTGCAAGGCTGTAAGTTGTCTCTAGTACTGGTGGGGGCGGGGGGAGCTGGGCTGGTGGCTCACACCTGTAATCCTAGCATTTAGGAATCCTGACTGCTGTGAGTTGAAGTCCAGCTTGGGCAACATAATGAGTGTCAGGACAGCCTGGCCTACAGAATGAGAACTTGTCTCAAAAAAAACTAAAATATAGGGGCTGGAGAGGTGGCTCAGCAGTTAAGACACTGTTGCTCTTGCAGAGGACCAAGGTTCATTTCCAAACACCCACATGGCAGCTAACTCCATCTCCAGGGGATCCAACACCCTCTTCTGACCTCCACAGGTACTGCCTGACATAGGTACACTTACATACATGCAGGTAAAACACTTATACACATACAATCAAATTATAAAAAACAAAAAACTAAAATCAACCAATCCCTCTCCCCCCGCCACCTCTGGTGAATGTGAGTGGAAGGGAGGCCTTTCCCCAATGCTCATGCAGCAGGGGAGGGGACAGGAAATGGGCTCTCTGGCAATGCTAACACTGGATAAGGGGCCATCCTAACCCTGGTGAACAGAAGAAGCACTTTGGCACCTCCTGGGCTCTTTCTTAGCAGACCAAGTGAAGCTGGAGGATAGATGACCAGGGTTTCCATTAACTCTCCTAGTACCCCTCAGTGCTATAAGTAGGAGTCAAAGCACAGTACACAGTCTTTATTTAGTAGGAGTATTAAACACCAGGATCCCCAAGACTCCAAATATATACTCTGCCAGGGGAGGGCATCAAGTGGCTAGTCACTCATGTCCAGTTTTCCTAAGTCCTTAAAGGGTCTTCAGGAGGCAGGAAGGGGCTGTGCCTGTGGAGAAAACACAATGACATCTAATGGTATCTCTTCTGGGTCTGGCCTTGAGACCACTGCTGGGGAGATGATGTAGACACAGCAGAGGCTGCCCTCACACAGTGCAGTCTGGATGGAAAAGGTGTCAGGTTGTACCCTTGGTCACCTGCCATGAGAACAAGTCCACCATAGAAAGCTAACACTGGAAGCAGGGAAGGGACTGTTTGGCTGTATTTTTGTCTTTTGTTTTATTTCTGAGACAGGGTTTTACTCTAGCCCAGGATGGCTTGAACTCATGGCAATCCTACTTCAGCCTCCCAAGTGCTGGGATTAGAGGCATGACCATGACACCCAGCTATGTGCCAGCACTGCCCAGCAGGCAAAATTTCTTACTCTAGGGAACTTATATTCAAAAAGGATGTGAGCGACAACAGATGAACAAAAATAAGTCACCTGGTAGGAAAGTCCATGTACCAGGGTAAAGAGCAAAGCTGTGTGTCGAGGAACATGGAGCCCTGTAGACTGTCAGCTACACAAATATGAGATGTTCCACTAAGGCCTTATATCATGCTGTGGATGAGAACATTGTATGTCTGCTATTGTGTAGACCAAAGAACAGAGGAGGCCTAAATCTTGCTGCCCCCAATTAGTAGGAAAAGTTGCAGCTGGGATGCCATCAGCAGGCAGGATCAGGACAGTGGGAGCAACTGGGTGTTAATTATTCCTCGCACATGGGAGCTGGTAGACCTTAGGAGGGGAGCAGGGGAGGTTTTTCTGATAGAAGTACTATGCAATTGGGATAAGAATTAGGAGATAAACTGGGGAGGGCAGTCCAAGTAGAGAGAAATAGCTGGAAATAGCAGGAGAGACATGCATTTAAGTAACTGCAGTATTTTTCACTAGGGATGGAGGATAGAACTAGAAGTGAAAAGCCCAGAGTCATAAGGGATCCAGTTTGTGCTGGAGCTGAGAATTGGTCTGGTAGAAGTGAAGCTATCAAGAAGTTTCTAAGTAGAAGCCAACATTAAGACGACTTCTGAGATCATTCTGAGACCATCACAAAGGATTGAAAAGGGACAAGATACAGGGCTGGAGAGATGGCTCAGCAGTGAAGAGACTGGATCTTCTGAGGACCCAGGTTTGGTTCCCAGCACCCACATAGCGGCTAACAACCATCTGGAACTTGAGTTCCAGGGGATCCAATGCCTTCTTTTGACCACTGCAGGTATTGTTCACAGGGGTGCACCTACCTATATACAGCCAAAACACTCATACACATAAAATTAAAACTAAAAGGACAATATGGACTACAGCAGCCCAGGAGAGGGTGGTAGTCAGGTGGTAAGAGAAAAAGCAGTGACAGAGGGAGGGCCCCAAAGGTGTGCAGAAGAGGCTGAAGAAAGGTGTGACTTTTCCCTTTGGAGTGGTCAGCAGGAGAGGCAGGAAATGTCGAAAGAAGTGTTTCTCACTTTCTTCCATTATTGCCCACCCCAGTGCATTTTTAGACTTTTTCTAATTGCCACATCAATAAAACTTAGTATCTCAGATATACTGTATATGTGTTCGTGTACTGTATACAGTAAAAGCACTTTGAATGTTCATCCCACCCACTGCCCTCTGCCAGGACAGCTGAAGAATAGTGACAGGGAGAAAGTGGGCAAGGAAAGAGATGAGGGCAGCTTGAGGAAGAACACACAGAGTCCAGGAAGGACCAGGGACTTTGTTCCTGGTGTCAGCAGGAAGTCATTGGAGAGTTTTAAGCAAAGGTGTAATGTGGCAAGATTTCGGGCCACCATATAGAAGCTAACAGGGTCAGGAAAACCGTGGAGAAGGCTGGGGCAGGTATCCTCGCAGAGGAGATGGTTGGACTAAAGTAGAGGTTGTGAGTGGGGGAGAGATAACCATGTTTTAGATGTTCAGCCAAGGCATGTGTGGGAATTGGTGAGACTGAGGACTTAAAGATCTTTACTTTGAACTACAAAATGGAAGTGTCAAGGGGAAAACAGATGCTGATTTGGTGACCCTCCTTTACCTCTCCAGTTGTGGGTGAACCCGGTGGCTGCACCTGCTCAGCACACTGCAGGAAGCGGCGCACATGTTCAGCACAGTTGCCAACTGCTGCCTCATTTCTACGAAGACACTCCTCAAAGGCTTCAAAAGGTTCAGCACAGGCCTGGCGGATCTGGCGGATGATGGGGCTGTGGGGGTAGGGCATTTCAGACCTTGCAATACTCACACTCCACCGCCCAGCACCCTCAACCCAGTTTCACACTCACTGGGATGATGTGCACCGAGCAATGCTCATCTTAAGGTGGTGACAGTCCCGCTGCCATGACTCAGGCTTGGCTGCCACACACTGGCCATACTGATCTAGCTCCCGGCTGCAGTATCGAGCAGTGACCTCCAGGGCTGCCTGCCTGTGGGACCGGGTAGGCTGAAGATAATTTCAGACAGCAGGCAAGAAAGGCAGTTCTGATAGTTCTGATCTGGGTCTGTGATTGAACTGAGGGTTCTTGGGATATCTGGGAATCATAATGATCCTGTGATGGGGAGTGAGGGGCAGAAGGCTTGAGCCCTGAGGGTTGTAGAACAGGATGGGAGTTTCTGGGGAGATAGTGGAGGTCCTAAAACAAAGTATAGGTTTTGTGAGGCAGGCCTGGAATATCTTCCAACAGCTTTGGAGTCCAGGCATTCCCCAGTGGGGCTGGGCATCATGTAGATAAGACTTGGGGCCTGACAAGATATCTAGGGAGAGAGCCTGGTTGAGTTAAATGGGCTCCAAAGTCTTTAAAATGAGGTTTTTGGAAGTCCAGGAGGTAGCATCTTACGTCTTGGGTAAAGGTCTCCTGGCCAGGTTTCAGAGATGGGGCCATAAGACAGGAGACCAAAGGTCCTGTGGTGGATTTGGGGTTTCCAAGCTGGGAACTCAGGATCCTAGAGGCATATCTGGAAGCCCTGAATGAGTTTGGGACTCTGGAGTGGGTCTAGACTCCTACAAATAAGGTCTTAAAGTTTTGGGAGACAAAGTATATAGGAATTCAGAGCACGGTCAGAGGGATGTAGGAACAAGTCCGTGGGCCCTATATACTTGTTACCTTGGGTCATATACAAACTTGGAAAATTCATAGATAAGGTTTGGTTGGGCAAGGAGAGAAGCCTGGCGCTCTAAGGCCACGAATTACGGACCTAACAATCATTTGATAAGTTTAGAGTCCAAGGGTCACAGTATCAGGGGCAGGGGCAGGGGTCCTGGAAGCAGAGCTTGGATAACAGAATAGACCCCCAAATCCTGGGTCACCACGAGTTAGTGGAGAGGAAGCTAAATCCTCGGGGGGGCGAGGGAGAGAAGGCACTGGATCCTGAGGGTCGCGTATCCAAGGGAGTCCATTCCTTCTTCTTGAGGTCCTGGTCTAGGTCCGGGTCACTGGGGAAAAGAAAGGACAACAGCAAGCTCAAGGCAGGCGTTCCAGCTACTCACATCTCCAGGCAGGTGCAGGCGTGGAGCAGTCAGAGAGGAGACCCGCCTTTTCCGGTATCAGGCTGTCATGGCGGCGCCCAGCCCAGCCTCCCGGCCTCGCTCCTCCGGTTGCCGAGAGCACCGGAATCCTTCCTTTAAGTCTCACCGGGTCATGGCGGGGCCCCAACCCCACCTTCCGGCCAACTGCCTGTCCTGGCGGCGCCGGGTGCAACTACTTCCGATCCGCCGGCTAATTTAGTTCCTTTTCACTTCCGCTTTACGCGGGCTATGCTCCCGGAAGTAAGGAATCGGAAGTACTGCGGCTTCTCGGTCCCAACGTGAGTGCATGTCGCTGGTGCTGCAGCCGCCGCCCCACCCCCACCCCCCGTTGGTGGCCATAGGACGCCCTGTGGCCTTCCCTTCACGTGCTGCGGTTCGCGGCTGGCCGGGACCCGAGTCCGCCAGCCGGAGATCTGGCAACGTCCTAACCTTACCTAACCCAGGAGCACCGCCCTCCTGACACTGACTTTATGGAGAGTGCATGGAACCCCGAGAGGGAATCACCCTAATAACCGCAAGCCCCCCCCCACCTGCTTACCTACCTCATAGCACAGGCGGTAAAGCCAGGACGAATGTGAACTTCATTGCTCGCTCTTTGCGATCATAGACACGTTATTTTGTAATTTCCCCTGGTCCGGCAACGTTTCCATCACCATACATGCCTTAGGGTAGACCTGGTGTGTTGGACAGTTTCAACTGTCAACTTGACACACCTGGGAAGAGTGAACCTCAACTAAGGTATTTCCCCCATTGGCTTGGTCTTTGAGGGGTTTTTTTGTGTCTTTTTGAGACAAGGTCTCCCTGTAGCCTCACCTGGCCTCACTATGTAGACCAGGCCAGCTTCACTCTCACAAGAACCTGCCTGGGTGAGGCATTTTCTTAATTGCTGGTTGATGTGGGAGGACCCAGCCCATTGTGGGCAATGCCACCCTAGCAGGTGGTATAAGAAAGCAGCTGAGCACAGGCCAAAGGGGCAAGCCAGTAAGCAGTGATCCCATATGGTCTGTTTCAGCTCCTGCCCTGGTTTCCCTCAATGAGGACTTTACTGTAAGCTGAGATAAACCCTTTCCTCCCCAAGTTGGTTTTGGTCATGGTGTTTCATCACATCAATAGAAAGCAAACTAGACAAGCCTGGAAATTTATTTCTGTTCATAGGGCTAGATATCCCTTTGTCCAAGAACTGAGTAGGTCTGGTCACCTAGTATGAAGAGGTCTTCTAAGACTCAAGGCAAAATGAGCAATTAATAACCAACCATCTGAAGTCTCAATATGCATCTGTAAGATGGATGTGATGACGGTGGCTTCCTTCACACAGGACATAGTGCAGGGGAAGGGAGTTCCTTCCAGTTCTGGATAGAACAGATGTTACAGGAAGCAGTGATCATGAGTACCCAGGTGGACAGTTGATATGACAGGTGTAGGACTGGAGCCACCCCACTGAAAGACTTTCATTCTTGGGGAGCAAGACACCTAGATGTCCACATTTCTAGTTGCCTTTTGGCTAGTGGCTCTGGTAGCTTAGGAACAGGACCAAGAAATGCAAGAGACACCCAAATAACCATAAGGTCTGGCATGAAGCAAATCAGTTTGAAGATCTCAGGTGTTTCTGTTACCGAGGAAACTGGTTCTTAATAATTTTTAAAATTGACAGGGTAGGAAGCTTAAGGACATTTTTATTCAGAGTTTTAAGAGAAAACATCAGGGCAGGCAAGCTGCAAAGCTCAGCAGCTGCTGGGAGAGGGAAAGGAGGGAAAGAAATGGCCATGTGGTTTATAAGCAGCCACATGGCAGTCAAGCAGCCCCATGGTACAGTGGGATGTGGTGGGTAGCTTCAGAGAAAAAGGGAGAAAGCCAGGAAAGCATGCCCAGGCTTTGGCCAACATCCAAAAGAAAAAGAAGAAATAACAGGAAAAGTTACACTTTCCTGAGTAACTCAACACAGGTAGGCCACACTGAACTTGATAGCTCTGCAAGCGACTACGCCAAGGGAGGGCCTCTGGGAAGAAGTACATGAAGTCATTAAGGGAATCATTTCTCCCCTCAACTTGGCAAATCTCAAGGTGAATCAGGAGGCAAAAGCAGGCAGATCTCTGTGAGATGGAGGCCAGTCTGGTCTACATAGTGAGTTCTAGTCCAGCTAATGCTACAAAGTGAGACCCTGATTCAAAGAAAAAAACAAAAGGTGGAAGGAGAGAAACAACTCTACAAGGCTGTCCTCTGACCACCTACAAGCACATCACAGCACATATGCACACACACAAAAATATTTTAAAGATTTTTCATTTGTGTGTGTGTGTGCTGGGGGTGGAGGGCATTCCCAGAAAGGCCACAGAGGACACTGTGTCTCCTGTAGCTAGAGTTACAGGCAGTTGTTAGCCACCTAACCTGGATGCTGGGAACCAAACAGGCCCTCTGGGATGGCAGGAAGTGCTCTAAACTGCTGAACCATCTCTCCAGCCCCAATAAGATTATTTTTTCTAATTTCTGGGAGAAAACAATACACTGGAGACCTCCAGGTTTCCCCTTAAACATATTTTTCATTCTGTAGGACAGTGCATTGGATGACAAGACTCAGATTTCTTTTGTCCTCAAAAGGAATGAACTAGTGACCACTGCTACCTGATGTTATTTTGTTGCAAGTCAGAACACAGGTAATCCAAACACCTTACAAATGTGGACTGAGGCCAAGAAGGCAGCAGAAAAATCCCTCAAGAGTCCAATTGCCAGTTTCCCTACCCAACTTAGTGGAGGACTTCACTGCACATTGGGTAGTATTCAGACACTGCCTCTGTGGTGGGCAAATTAGCTGTAAAGGCTGCTCTGGTCTCATCTAAGAAAGTTTAGAAAAACCAAAAGTATTGAAGGAAGATGATATGGAGATTTGGCATATAAAATAAAATCCCAAGATATGGTAATGATGGTGCTAAATGTTTAATAAGACTCTGAGTAGCCAGGCATAGTGGCGCATGCCTTTAATCCCAGCACTCGGGAGGCAAGGGCAGGCAGATCTCTGTGAGTTCAAGGCCAGCCTGGTCTACATAGTGAGTTCCAGGACAGCTGGGGCTACAGGGAGACCTGTCTCAAAAAGACCAATAAATAAATAAATAAATAAATAAATACTCTTTGAAAGGTAATTAGTTGCTCAAAGCAAAGCTAGTAAGTAACATACCACAGGGTTCATAACATGTAGAAGTGCATGACAAAAATGACAGGAAGAGACAAGAGATGGGGATGTGTGTATATGATCAGTCTAAAGACGTATACTAAGGGGTTGGGGATTTAGCTCAGTGGTAGAGCGCTTGCCTAACAAGTGCAAGGCCCTGGGTTCGGTCCTCAGCTCTGGGGGAAAAAAAAAAAAAAAAAAAAAAAAAAAAAAGACAAGATGTATACTAGAAATGTTAAAGAAATGGGCATGGTGCCACAGGCCTTTAATCCTACCACTCTGAATTTGAGGTCAGCCTTGTCTATATAGAATAGTTCCAGGCTAACTGGACTGCATAGTTAGGAAAAAAACAAAACCAAACCAGGAATGGTGACATATGCCTGTAACCTCAGTACTGGAGAGGTTGAAGCAGGCTAATCACTAAGTGTAAGGCTGGCCTGGGCTGCCTTACTAGTGAACAGCCTGCACCAGAGAGAGAGACCCCATCTCAATAATAATTTAAGGAAAGCAACCATAAGTGAAAAGATACTAGGGTTAATAAGTTAACAGAGAAAATGAAATAATAAAAAATTACTTAGCCCCATAAAAATATGACTGATTTTTAGAAAAAAGTGTGAAATTAAATGAAAAAAGGCCAGTCTTCAAACAATGATGCTGGAGCAGAGAGGTGGGAGAGAGAAAATATATGAATATTTCATCTTACCTCACACCTTATACAAAAATTAACTCGGAATAGGACATTGATTTAACCAGATGTGGTAGCATATACCTAATTCTGGTACCCAGGAGGCTGAGGTAGGGAATGGCTAGCCTGGGCTAGAAAATGAGCTCTGAGTCTACCTGGGCTACATAGAAAGACAGTCTTAAAAAAAAAGCCTGTGGGTTTGTTAAGTTCTTAGGACACTAAACACATGATCCACCAAAAGAACAATGTATTGGGTTTCATTGATAGTAAAATCTTTTGCTGTGTAGATCTCTGAAAAAGATGGTCAAGCTGGGCAGAAAGGGTATGGTGATGCAGGCCTGTTCTAGCAGCCACTCAGGAGGACTGTAAGTTCCAGGCCAGCCTAGGCTACGTAGCAAGGTCCTGTCTCAAAAACAGGAGAAAAGATCTGCAGAACAGTTGTATGACAAAGGTTTTTGTCTCTAGAACATATATATAATGAAGTCTTGGGATTCACAGAAGTTGTGCTGGATAGCTTTAGTTGTCAACTTGACACACCTGGATAGAGGGAGCCTCAACTGGGGAATTACCTCCATTGGATTGGCCTGTGGCCATGTCTGTGGGAGTTCACCAATCGGCTTGACTGATGGCCAGTGAGCCCGAGAGCCTCCTGTCTCTACCTCCCAGCACTGGGATTACAGTGATGGCCCGCCACACCCAACTTTTTATGTGGGTGCTGGGGACCCCAACTCAGGCTCTCCTGCTTGTATAAAAAGCACTTTACCTACTGAGCCATCTCCCCTGCCCTATGGCAATTTCTTAGAAAACTATGCAACTACTTTATGACTCAGCAATTGCACTCTTGAATATCTGTCCTCGAGAAATGAAAATTATTTCTACATATAAACTTGCCTGTGATTGTTCAGAGCAACTTTACCTGTTAATGCCCCAAACCAGAAACATCCAAAATGTTCTTCAAGATAAAGTTAAACTGTTGTCCATCCATACTTTGGAGTACTAGGTAGCAATACAAAGAAATGAATCAATTACATACAACAACTTCGATGGATTTAAAAGGAACTCTTTGTGTAAAAAAGGTCAATTTCTTCTTTTTTGATCTTTTGAGACAGGGTCTCCCTGTAGCCCCAACTGTCCTGGAACTCTCTATGGAGACCAGGCTGGCCTCGACCTCAGAGATCCTCTTGCCTTTGCCTCCTAAGTGCTGGGATTAAAGGCATGCCAATGGTCAGTCTTAAAATATCGCATTTTATTGTTCTATTTACACACACACACACACACACACACACACATATACACACACATATGTATATACTTGAAACTACAGAGCTGGAGAACAGGTTGCAGGGTTAGAGAAATTAATAGAAAGCATAACAAGGAACTCAGTGGTGATGATGTGTCCTATGTGTAACACTAATCGGCATAGAAGATAAAATTACCCACAACTGCTGGGTGTGGTGGCGCACGCCTTTAGTCCCAGCACTTGGGAGGCAGAGGCAGGTGGATCTCTATGAGTTCAAGGTCAGACTGATTTACATAGTGAGTTCCAGGACAGCTGGGGCTACTCAAAATGACAAAACAAACAAACAAACAAACAAACAAAAAAAACTGTTCACATGCAGCATACAAGTGCATATAAGATTGGTCAAATCTGGGGCTGGAGAGATGGCTCAGTGGTTGAGAGCACCGACTGCTCTTGCAAAGGACCCGGGTTCGATTCCCAGAACCCACATGATGGCTACAACTGTCCTTAACTCCAGTTCCAGGGGAATCCGAAGCCCTCTTCTGACCTCTCTGGCATTTCACGACACAAGTGCACTCACATACAAGCAGGCAATACACTCATACACATAAAATAAAAATATTTAAGAAAAAGGCCGGGCGTGGTGGCACACGCCTTTAATCCCAGCCCTCAGGGAGGCAGAGGCAGGCAGATCTCTGAGTTCAAGGCCAGCCTGGTCTACATAGTGAATTCCAGGACAGCTGGGGCTACAGGGAGACCCTGTCTCAAAAAGACAAAAAAAAAAAAAAAAAAAGGTCAAATCTGAATTAAGCTCCTGCGTTTCTTGGTCATGAATCTACAATTTAAAACGTTTGTTGTTTTTTTTAAAAAATATTATTATTATTATTATTATTATTTTGGTCTTTTTGAGACAGGGTCTCCCTGTAGCCCCAGCTGTCCTGGAACTCACTATGTGGACCAGGCTGTCCTTGAACTCAGAGATCTGCCTGCCTCTGCCTCCCAAGTGCTGGGATTAAAGGCATGCACCACCACGCCCAGCTCTTACTATTTTTATGTGTATGTGTATATTGCCTGCATGTGGGTAAGTACATCCATGTGGTGTAATGCCTGCAGAGAACAGAAGAGTTAGACAGTTGTTAACTGTCATGTAGTTGCTGGGATTCGAACCCGGGTCTTCTGCAAGAACAGCCAATGTTCTTAACCACTGAGCCATCTCTCCAGCCCTAAAACATTAATTTTTAGAAAATATTTTATTCAATGTGTATGAGTGTATTGCCTGCAAGTATGTAAATGCACCCATATCGTGCAGTGTCTGTGGAGGTCAGATCCCGTGGAATTGCAGTTACAGATAGTTGTTAGATGCCATGTGGGTGCTGGGAACCAAACCCGGGTCCTCTGCAAAAGCAGGCAGTGCTCTTAACTATTGAGCCATCTCTCCAGCCCCTAAAATATTAATTAAAAAGAAATATATACATATATATATTTTTTTAAAGCAGGGTATTCCTGATAATTCTGACACTCTGGAGGCTAAGGCAGGAAGATCTAGGCCATGTGACAAATGCCACCCTCAACAAACGTTAAGAACAGAAACAAAATACAACTGTTTTTGACACTTGAGACTTGAAAAGTACACCTCCGCTACGGGATTGTGAGGTAGACAGATGGGGTGGGTAAACTAAATAAATGAAGCACATGCAACTTCATTATTCAATATACTTCACTATACATCTATAACTGAGATTCTATTAATGGCAAGGAAAAGTATCAATCAATACATTCAAGGTGTTTTCCATACGCTTCCATTTCTTGAAGCAAAATCGGCGTATATCTTTAATGAACAGATTTTTCTCAGTATAGTCCTATCTGCCTTATTAGTGAGACTTTCTAAAGCCTGACTCAGTTTTATACTTACACAAGTGCACACAAGGTTTGTAACAGCCAAAGAATGGAAGAATCCAAACACCCACCCACAGGGGACAATACAGATATATGTACTCTACAGACTGATATTAGGGCCAAAAAAAGCCACTAGATTTTAGAAATATATTATGAAAGAGTATTTCAATAAAGCTTTAATATTATTTACATGTTGAAAAGACATTTTGGCTAGATTACATTAAAATAAGATACATTTGTCCTTAAAGGAGGAAATCCTGCCATGTTCAACAACAAGGCCGAACCATGACCACATTATGCTAGAAATAAGCTGCTCACTCAAGGACAAATGCTGCACAATCCTACTATGAGTTATCTAAAATAAATAGTTAAACTCAGAAAAACAAAGTAAGTTGGCAGAGGTCAGGGAAGTGGAGGAGAGTTATTCAACAGGTAGGTAAACTTTCAGTTATGCATGCTGCAGAAATCCTGCAGTTAACAACTGTGCTGCACTTTTGAAACTTTGTGAAGAGGATGGATCTCTATGAAGATGGCAGATATATTATTTTCTTTGACTGTGATGACATCACAGATTATGCGTATGTCCAAACCCATCAAATTACATACATGAAATAGCATAGTTTTTGCATAACAATTATATTTCAATAGTTGTTGGAAATATTTCTCCTAGTTTTAGTTTACGTGGCAATTACACACATGGCTTGCATTTTATTATCATACACCTCTGCTCTAGATGGACAAACAGATGTGACCTCTGCCCACTCAAAACAGGGAACAGTGGGGGCTGGAGAGATGGCTCAGCAGTTAATAACACTGACTGCTCTTGCAGAGGACCCGGGTTTGATTCCCAGCACCCACATGGCAACTGCGAACCGTCCTTAACTCCAATTCCAGGGGAATCCGAAGCCCTCTTCTGACCTCGCGGCATTGCATGACACGAGTGCACTCACATACATGCAGGCCATACACTCGTACACATAAAATAAAAATAAATATTTTTTTAAAAATGGAATAGTGAACCTGCAAAAGGTAATATAAGGAAACGTCCCTTTACGATCCTATATTTATCAATAAATCATTTTTAAAATTGTTTTTATTTAATTTTGATTTTGTGTGTTTGTATACATGTATTTAAGTACTTGTGCATGTAATGCCTGCAGAGGCCAGAAAAGGATGTTGAAGTCCCTGGAATTACAGATACAAATAGTTCTTAGCCACCATGTGGGTGCTGGGAACTGATCCCAGGTCCTCTGCGTGAGCAGTCAGTTCTCTTAACCACTGAGCCATCTCTCCAGCCCCAATAAATCATTTTTTTAAGAAGGCACATATGCAATCTTTGAACAAATATACCAAACTCGGCTTCAGTAGTTTTCAGACCAGAGACTCAGAAATCTTGAATTCTTGGTGATCTGGTCTTGATTTAAAGTGTAAACACCCTTGTAAAAACCAAGAGTGAATTCGTAGTCTCTTCACTGTATTAAAGTTACCTTTCATTTTAATCTCCAAACTCAGAAGGCCAGTTTCTAGTTAAATGATATCCAGCTTCACTTTGATGTTCATAGCTGCCAGTTCAGCTACAAAATACCGAAAAACATAAGGCACAGAGATGGTATCGATAGTGTCACTGCGGTCACAAACAGTGCAATTGTATTTTCTGTTACGCATGGCAGACCAAGAAGGAGGTGGCTTCTCCAGCAATGGAGAGAGTAAACTGCCACACTTCACACACACGTGGGCGACCGAGCGGTCAGAGCAGTTGAAGAGACGGTCATGAAGGAGAAAAGACGTACCATGAGCCAAAAGAGCATCCCGCTCCATCTCTCCAAAGCGGATGCCTCCCTGGACATTTCTTCCTCCAATAGGCTGGTTGGTGACTTTGTCCCTGGCTCCAGTTGTTCTAACCTGAAACTTGTCTGACACCATGTGGCGTAAGCGTTGGTAATAAACCACACCAATGAAAATGTCTGCTTCCAGCTCTACCCCGCTGATCCCGCTGTACAACCTCTCGGTGCCATAGAAGTTGTAGCCAGCAGCCTTTAACATCTCACCAAAGTATCCCAAGGCTGAGTTCTCCTCGGAGAAGATGAAGGGTGTAGCATCGTGGCAGAGACCATGCAAAGCTGCAGACTTCCCGGCCATGCTCTCAATCAACATACCGATGGTCATGCGGGAGGGAAATCCATGAGGGTTGAACAGAATGTCTGGCACCATCCCACTCTCGGTAAAAGGCATGTCCTCAGCTGGCCACAGTCTGCTCAAAATGCCCTTCTGCCCATGACGACTGGCAAATTTATCTCCAATAGTTGGATTCCGAGGGACTCGCATTGTGATACAAATACACTTGAACTTTCTACTGCCTGTGTCATTACTACACACTTTGATGTTATCTACAATGCAGTTTTCTTTGCTCCTAGGAAAAAAATAAACCATGTAAAAAGTCAAGCTATTTGGTTTTCTGGCTGGCCCAGAACCTACTCTGTAGGTCAGGCTGGCCTTGAACTTAGAGTTACTACCTCCTGCCTCTGCTTCCCAAATGCTGGGTTACAGATGTGTGCCACGACCCAGCCAAGCTTTTATTTTAAACTTAAAAATACTTAAGCTTGACGTGGTGGCGCACGCCTTTAATCCCAGCACTTGGAAGGCAGAGGCAGGTGGATCTCTGTGAGTTCAAGGCCAGCCTGGTCTACATAGTGAGTTCCAGGACAGCTGGGGCTACAGGGAGACCCGGTCTCAAAAACACCAAAACAAAACAAAACAAAACAAAACCCCTTAGGCTTGGTTGACATAGTGTGTCATAAAGGATCTGTATATAACTTGTTGTTTTGTCTATTCACTAATACAAATAGAGCTAATACTTCTAAAAGCATTTATTACGACAACTGATTATGTTTATCTAAGAGATTAGCAACTGAAAAGCTATGAAAGCCTTCTAAAGTCATTTACATTGTTGCAAAGGCAGCGAAAATATTAACTCATTTTTAATAAGAGGCATACTGAACTCTATTTTGGCTAGGAAACATCCCTAACACTATGAAAGAGAAAAGAAAGCTCAAATAACAGAGTTTTAAAATAAATCATAAATAGCTATCATAAACTGGGACTACAAAAAAAGTAGAAAAATAAATGCAATGCAACAGATTGTATAATGTCTTGTTTAAGCACTGACTCTAAACGACATCACCTGAATATATTCTCTCCAAGGTTCATGTGGAAACTGAACCTCTATTGTGGTGTTATTAAGAGCCAGGCCTTTAGGTGACTAAGTTCTGAAGACGGAGCCTCATCAGGAGACACTGACCTTAGAGAAGAGGTCTGAGGAGCTCTTTCTACCTTCCACCTTCCACCATGTCCGGACATCCAGGCAGTACCTCCACAAGGAAGGAGTCTACCAGTGCCCCTATCTTGGATGGCCCCACCCCCAAGAAGAGTGAGACATACATTTCTGGTTGTTTTTTTTTTATAAAGATTTTTGTTTTTTTGAGACAAGATCTTCCTGTAGCCCCAGCTAGCCTGGAACTCGCTATGTAGAGAGATCTGCCTGCCTCTGCCTCCAGAGTGCTCAGATTAAAGGCATGTACTACCAACTAGATTTATTTTTATTTTATGTGTTTTATGTTTATGTTTTGCACGCTTGTATATATGTGCATCATGTGGGTGCTAGGTACTGAACAGGTCCTCTGCAAGAGCAGCAAGTACTCTTAACCACCTAGCTACCTCTCTAGACCCCAAATTTCTATTTTTTTTATTACCCAGCCTTAGCTATTTTGTTAGAGAAGCAGAGATTTAAAAGAGTAACTAACTAAATTTTACTTATATTTTTTCCAAAATATTCTCTTGTTAAAAGACAGCTTTTCATTGACCTCCAGCAATACCAGTAAGAAACAGCCTATAAAAACCAGCACAAGAGCCAGATGTGGTAGCACAGGCCTATAATCCCAGCACAGCAGGCAGAAAATAACCCATTAGGTCAAGGCCAGGATGGTCTATATAATGAAATACATAATAAGTTCCAAGCCAGCCTGGGAGACCTAGTCACACCTTTTCTCAAAAACAGAGTCCAACAGTGATCCCCAAACTTACTTATAGAAAACCACAAAGCTTTCCCCAGTATTAAGATTTAGGTAGCTGTAGTAGGGATCCCCAAATTGCAGCTTGGCTCCTATGAATGGCAAGCCATCATCATCCAACTTCTGCATAACTCGGGGGTCACCAGGTTTGACCCCAAACACCAGACTATCATCTCCTTGCTTAATCTTTTCAGAGAGGTCTATGAACTCAGTCTTGTAGACACTTCCATGAGCAAAGCCGCGTTCCCACGAAGCCTTATTCACAATCTGGGGGGATCAAAGAATCGTTCATTTAAGAGCCTGAAGGCAAATGAGGATTTTCAAAATACAGTGTTAGGACTGTATTAATACTTGATTTAGGATAACCAGCATTTGATTCTAAAACTCCCTCTACATTTCTAAACCAACAATTACTATTACTAAACAACAATTACTATAAAACACAGACTTATAAATGACTTACAACCCAATCAAAGATAAATATGAACTGTAAATATTCAAGACCACACACCAATATTTACTCATCCTATGCAATCAAATGTGGACAATACTTGCATACCTGAATATTCAGACATTGAATATCAAGGTTTGCCTCTTTTTTCTTAGACCAGGAATTAACCATTTAATAGAACAAACATGAGTCTAATACTAGGCACTTGAAGTTGCAATAAACATTCCTTCTGTGATCTCACAGTAAATAAGACAGTTAAAAAGTAGTACGATTATCTGGGCATGGTGGCGCACGCCTGTAGTCCCAGCACTTGGGAGGCAGAGGCAGGCAGATCTCTGTGAGTTCAAGACCAGCCTGGTCTACATAGTGAGTTCCAGGATAGCTCAGGCTACAGGGAGACCCTGTCTCAAAAAGACCAAAAAAAAAAAGTAGTACGATTAGAAACTAAAAACTTACCATGGCATCTTCCATATCATAGCCAGTGTAGGAAATCACAGCAACGATAGCATTTGTCCCAATTGGATAGTTGTCCATGTCATAGTAATCATACATGCATGGTCTTACTAGAGGACTTTGTGGTGTCTGAAGACGATAGAGCTTATTATCTGATCGGTCTTGATAAGTGAGAAGCGGAAAGCCCATGGTCTGCTTACCTACAGAAAAGACAAAGTCTCTGCAATTTGTTGTTGTTTTTTTTGGGGGGGGGCGGGGCGGGGCAGCGGGGGATTTGTTTTGTTTTGTTTTAGGTAGGGTCTCAGTATGTAGATCAGGCTGGCCTTGAACTCAGAAATGCACCTACCTCTGCCTCTTCTGAGAGTAAAAGTGTGTGCTACCACACCTGGCTGCATTTTGTTTTTGATCCTCAATTATCAATGTGCTATATAAAACTGGAAACAATCAAATATACATCACAGGGAAATGAATAACACAGTCATGGTGACCATGCTTACTACAGACTAATACAAGCTTTAAGAATGAAGTATCTGATCAACATGCCCAGATTCAGAAACAATGCTGGGTAGGAACAAGTACAGAAGTACATTAATGATGCTATATGTAGATATGTATAACATACAGCAAACAGTTCTATCATTTATGACTGTCCATGATGGAAACACTACAAGGGATACAAAGGATCTGTAAGACACTCCGGGGCACACAAACAAAAATGCCAGCATTTGTAAATTCTGGGTAATAGAATATAGGGGTACAGGGAAGTAGACTATTCTTTGTATCATTCTCAGTACACAGAATCTTTTCAGAACAAAATTATTCTAAAACTAAAAGAAAATACACACATACACAAATGAAAATTGTGTGGATTAATCTGGATCGTTAACTTGATGGGCTATAGACTCCCCATTTGGGCTGTTTGTGAGAGACTATCTAGATCAGGTTAACTGACATGGAAAGAAACAAGCTAAATGTGGGCTTGGGACCTGGACTGAATAGCAAAGAAAAAGCAAGCTATACAAACATTCCTCAGTCTCTGCTTGCTGAATGCAGATATAACATGACAGAGGCCTCCTGCACCTGCCACCCTGCCTTTCCCCATGTGAACTGTATCCCTGGGTACTGTAGGCTAAAATAAACCCTTCCACCATTAAGCTGCTTCTGTCAGGTATTCTGTCCCAGCAATGAGACAACAGCTAATACAATACATAACAGAGGGGCTGGAGAGATGGCTCAGCAGTTAAGAACACTGGTTGTTCTTGCAGAAGACCAGGGTTTGAATCCCACCACCCACATGGCATTTGTTAGGACAACAAAAGTTTTTAAGGTTCAGGACAACGGTAGAGTAAAGCAGTAATACGGGGAATGTGGGTCTCTAAGGAGCTAAGGTTTTAGAGGAGAGGGGCCCTCCTACAAGACCACCCTCAACACTTAACTCTAAGATTCAGAAAGGAAAGAAAAAACATCCCAATTGTGTGCACATGCCTACTACCTAAAGGACTGGAGATTTGCCAATAGTCAGAAACTGAGAGGAATTTATATTCGGACAGAAGGAACCACCCTTAGTGACCAACTTTTTTTTCCATTTTTCTTTTTTTTTTGCCTCATGGTCAGTCAATGCTAAGCTACAACTTAGAAAGCCACAGCCTACTGTTTTGAAGAATCAAGGAACAGAGTTTAAGAGCATCACAGGGAAATGAATAAAGTCCTCTATAAAGTAGAGGACAAAGTAATGAGTGGATTACAGAAGATGAGCCTTAAAGTCTACATTTACACTGAGTCCAAGTTTTTGGTGGATGCCTGAGCTGTGCACTCATGGAAGTGAGCCAAGCAGCCCAGAGACTAAAAGGTGTGTCAACTGCTGTGTTCAGCTAAGTTAACTACCAATTAAAAATGAAGACCAACCAATCATCTCCAGAAAAATCCTAACAGGATCCATAACTTTCAAGCACAACCTCATAACATCTATCATACAATCGTGACTGCAGATATAAACAAAGAGCAAAGCATAACCTGCTTTTAAGGAAAACCAAACAAGGGAGAGCAACCCTGAGATGACCCAAATTCTGCAACTGGCCAACGGTTCCTTACATCACCCATTAGATAAAGCTTGAAACATACGGGAAAATATGCCCACAATGAATGAAGACAGAAAAAAACTCAGAAAAGGTGGCACAAGTCTTTAATCTCAGCATTCAGGAGATAAGAGATGGAGGATCTCTGTGAGTTCGAGGCCAGACTAGGCTACAGTAAGTTCTAGACCAGTCAGACACAGCCACATAGTGAAAAAAAAAAAAAAATTAAACTGGTAACAACAATAAAAGGCAAGTTCTAGGGGCTGGAGTGAGAGCGCAGTGGTTAAGAACACTGACTGTTCTTGCAGAAGACCCAGGTTCAAATCCCAGCACCCACATGGCCACTAACAAATGTCTGTAACTCCAGTTCCAGGGGATCCGACAGCCTCTTCTGTCCTCCTCGGGCATTGCACGACACAGGTGCACTTACCTACATGCAGGCATATATGGGTACACATGAAAAAATAAAAATAATAAATTTTTTTTTTTTTAAAAAAGGCAAGTTCTAGACCAAAACAGACTACCTGAAACAAAACTTCATTAGATGTCAGTAGGAATGAAGTCAACAAACAACAATCAAAAAATGAACTCATGAAGAAGGGATGGAGGAAAAAAGACAAGAAAAAACCAAGAAACAAGAAAAAAGGACAAGTGGCACTGCTGGGGGTGGAGACAGGAGGGTCCTGGGCTTGCCTGCCAGTGGTCTGCTCCAGGTTCAGTGAGAGGCCCTGTCTCAGGGAGTAAGGTGGAACGTGATAGAGCAGCCACCAGACGTCCTCCTCTGGCCTCCACACACATCCACATGTACATATACCATACACAAATACACCGCACTGACACACATATACACACAAAATGAATACATAAACATGCATATACATATATACATAGAAAAAAAAAGCTTCTGAGACAGTGTCAAAGGTGTGACATAAATGATGCATGGCAGAGAAGAAGTAGAGGCAGAAGCAACAATTCTGAAGCAATGGAAAATGCTCCAAAGTTGATCGAATTTTTTTTCTCTCATGAAGACCAGTAGACCATAATTAGGATAAATACAAAGGAAATCATATCTCCGCAGCAGCCACTCTCCTAAAACCAAAATTAAAAGTAAGCCTTAAAGACAGGGAAAACAGCACATTACCCACAGGGAGAAGCACTTTATAACTGCAGCCTTCTAATCAGAAATAACAGAGACCAAAACGAGACAGTGCAGCAACTTTAATGTCCTGCAACAAGAGACCTGTCCACTCAGAACTATGTGGAAAGTGCAACTTCCTTAATGATGCTGAAATAGAATGTTCAGAAAAATGAAAAAGGAGAATCTGGTCGACAACCTGCAATATAAACATGCTGAGGCTCAGGCATGGTGGAGCATTGCTGGAATCCCAGTACGCAGGAGGTAGATGCTGCACAATCAAATTCCAGGCCAGCGCAAGCTCAGGAAAGGTTTAGGGGTAAAAGGGAATTTACAAATGATAAAAGCCTAAATTTCAGATGGAAACAAGGATCACTGAAGTGGCAATCATGTGGGTGGCCGTGAGGACTCAAAACTCAAACCACAAGATCTCAGAAAAACAATGGACAGTCTACATCATAAAGTACCTTTTTCTTTGAAAATGATAATATCGAGGGAAAAAAAAAACACACTAAATAAAGGCTGTTCTGCATTAAAGAAAACAAATCTATGCAACAGCTGAACACAGTATGTGATCCTAGGCTGGGTGTTTGGTGCCCCCTCCCCACAAATTAGATAAAGACCAAAATATAATGATAATAATGTCAATGTTAAACTTCTAGATTGATTTTGATTAGCATCCCTGGTTACAAAGATCCTTGTGGTTGGTGATAAACACTGAAGTATTTAGGAGAAACGGGGAATTATGTCTGCAATTTACCTTCGAATGAAAAAGTACAGTGTTAACAGAATACATGACAGACTGAAGAGAGTTCTTGAATTCTTGAAACTCTTGAGTTTGAAATTACTCCAAATTAAATCACATGCACTCTGTGTGTGTGTGTGTGTGTGTGTGTGTGTGTGTGTGTGTGTGTGTGTGTGTGTGTGTCTGTGCATGCAGGCACGTACATGAGTCAACCACCACCTCCACCCACCCACCTTACCCATCTGGCACTGGTACATGTTTCTTGGACTCTGGTTGTGATCAGAGAAGGGGATGAAGTTGGCAATCACACTCAGCAGGCTGTGAGGGAAGAGTTCCTGGTGTGTGGAAACTCCAGCAAAAACTTCATCCTCAAAGATAGCAATGTTCATGAAGAGCTGGAGGACAGGAAGCACAAAGAAGGTCAGGGCACAAAATAACCATGACTGCCTCACTATTTCCCAGAGGTTAGCCCTCAAGTCTACAAAGATCACCTTCCCTACCCACATCATGAATGCTGAATGGATCTGTGGGGAAGCATGGGGCAGCGCCTGTGTAGAAGTATCATCACTCGCCTTACATTTTCTTTTTGCTGCTGTTGTGGTGATGCCAGGGTTAGAACCCAAGGCCTGTGCATACTAGGCAAGTGCTCTACCACCAAGCTACCTCCCCAATGCTTTTCCTTTACATATTTCATTCTAAATCTACCTTGTTCAATTGTGAAGGGGAAGAGGAAGGAAAATAAATTCTCTTTTTTTTCTTTTCTTTTTGAGACAGGGTCTCTCTGTAGCCCCAGCTGTCTTGGAACTTACTACATAGACCAGGCTGGCCTTGAACTCACAGAGATCCATTTGCCTGCCTCTGCCTCCTGAGTGCTGGAATTAAAGGTGTGTGCCACCATGCCCAACTGAAAAATAAATTCTTATAGTAGCACAAAGTGGCAATTATTAAAGACGTAGGTGATGGGGCTGGAGAGAAGGCCCAGCAGTTAAGAGCACTGGCTGCTCTTGCAGAGGACCCAGGTTCAGCTCCCAGCACCTGCATGGTGGCTAACAACCATCTGTAACTCCAGTTCCAGGAGAATTTGACACCCTCTTCTGACATCCCTGGGCATTGCAGGACATAGGTTCACATATCTATTCATATGTGTATGCAGGCAGTACACTGATACACATAAAACAAAAATAAGGGGCTGGAGAGATGGCTCAGTGGTTAGGAGCACTTGCAGAAGACCCAGGTTTGAATCCTAGCACCCACATGGAAGCTAATAACCATCAGTACTCCAGTTCCAGGGGATTGATGCCCTCTTCTGGCATTGCATGACACAGGTGCACATGTACATGCAGGCATAACACTCATATGCATAAAAATTTTAATTTTAAAAAGAATTAGAAAAAAATTAAAAATGCTTTGCGAAGCAATAGCCATGCCTTTGAAAGCTGTATTCTATACAGGCACAAAGAGTCGCACATCACACACTGTCAGTACCTGCTCCATGGTTCCAATGAGTTCTTCTCTGCCCAATTCCAGGTTCTGCACAGGCCGTACCAGTCTGCAGGGAGTGGTAAAAAGGAACAAGCCTGGGTACAGACTTGGTTTTCCTGTCATGGGGATGAGAGCCACCTCCAGCCAGGGAGGAATTCTTTTTTCTCTCAACACCTATGTTAACAAAAGAGGTTGATGAAGATGAAATGATATGTTTTATGCCACCCTTACCTCCCTGACACCAAGAGACAGGTAGAATAGGAAAAGTATCCAAGTAATTATATCATACTAGCAATAAACACCACTCCACAGCCGTGGAGTCCACCCCAGTCTCATCCCCTCATACGAGGCCACTCACCCCACACAGAAGTGGTAAAAGCTCTACATTTCATTAAGGGCTCAGACCCACAATCAGTCAGCCAGTAACGAGACTGGAGAAGAAACAAGCTTATTCTGACATCTGAAATGTGGACTACTGGTTTTACATTAAAACCTATTACACAAAAAGAGCCTTCCACTTGGAAATTTTTAAAGAGAAATTTTAAAAAGATTATAGAACTCATAAACACTTAAGGGGATTCACAGCTAAATACAATATCAGTAAAGATGAAAGGACACTGGGGAGAGGGGAACTAGCAGATGTTGGTCAAAAGGTACAAAGTTCTGAGATCAGACGTACAACATTTATTTAACCTCAATTAACAATGCTGTGTCATATACTTGCAATCTGTTATGTGGGTAACACACACACACACCATAAAAACTCCCCCAAAAGGAGAAAATGAATGAAGATCAAACTGAATTCTTACTCACGATGATCCTCCTGTCTTGGATTCTTAAGTTATAAGCCACCATATCTGGCCCAAATTAAACTTTTTTAAAATATTTTATCTACTATCCTTGTGTGTGTGTGTGTGTGTGTGTGTGTGTGTGTGTGTGTACACATGTGCCACAGAACTTGTGAAACAGAGGACAACTCTTGGGAGTTCTCTCTTGCTACCTTGTAGAATCTAGGGATCAAACTCAGGTCAGCAGGTCTGAAGGAAGACCCACTGAGCCATCTTTCCAGCCCCCAAACTGAAATCTTAATCCAAATGCTAAAAAAGAATAGATAAAAGAAAGTACAGAAACACATTTTTAAATATCATCGATCCATGAAACCAAAATGAAATGGAAAATATTGAGCTCACCAAAACAGAGGCAGTAAGTTTAGGAAGATGAATTTCCTTACCAGAACAAAAAAATTTCAGTCAGAGGCAGGGATGGTGAAGCACACCTTTAATCCCAGCACCCAGGAGGCAGAGGCAGGCAGATCTCTGTGAGATCAAGACCATTCTGGTCTCCAAATCAAGTTCAACAGGAAGACCCTGTCTTGAAAAACCAAAAAAAAAAGAAAAAAAAATTTTGGTCTGGAGAAGACGGCTCAGGGTTAAGAGCACTTGCTGTTCTTCCAGAGGACCCACATGGCAGCTCTGTCGTCCTCGTCCAGCCTTCACGGGCACTATACACATATCAGTACGCCTACTAGCCATCAAAACACTTGTACAAATAAAAATTAGAGAAGAAAAAAAGAATTTTGGTCAAGCTGGGGGCACAGGCCTATATTCCTAGCTACTTGGGAAGCTGATGCAAAAGGATGGGAAATCCAAGGCCCAGGTGGGCTACAGAGTGAGTTCAAGATCAACCTGGCTACTTTAGTGAGACTGTCTCAAAATAAAAAGCTAGGGATATAGCTCAACAGTAGAGCACTAGCTTAACATATGAACCATGGACTTAGAATGGTTAAAGTGATATATTTTGTTATGTATATTTACCAAGACAAAAAAAAAATTGCACAAAGACCAGTCCAGAGAAGTTCCCATTGACCCAATCTGATACTATCTGAGCTTCAAAATAAATGAAACTAACAGAACACTCATGAAATAAAACAAGTCTATGTCGATTTAACAAATGAAATACAGAAGAAACGAAATACATGGACAATAAATACAGAAAAAACAAGTGTTCTCCCAGGCTAGCAAGCAATAACAGAACCAGTGTTAGAATTAGGAATCTGTATTTAGCAACCACTACAGTCATAATTAACTCAGCAAAGAATCACCAATGCATCAGTAATAATTCAGCAAAAAATTTATCAGTTAGTGGGTAAAAGTTAGATGGGAAAGGGGCCTTTGCATAGCTTTCAACTATCTCTCCACAAATTATCCCTAGAGGAAAATAGTAATGTAAGGACCCACTGAATAACCGAAGAGATTAAAGGTAGCACCTCCCCAGGACAAAGCAACAACAGGTTCAGAATCTTATAATGAAGTTACACAAAAACCTCAACTGAGGAGTCACCTAACTGGTGCTTCCCCTAGGAAGTCAAACTGGAACTGGTTGGATAAGCACACAGGGGCCTCAATGAAACTACCAACAAATGCATATGGATCAGGTGTCTGTCACTGACCCAACCAGTAAGGTCAGGACAAGACAAAGCTACTACCAGAGAAATGTCCAGGCATTTCTGGAATTAGCTTTGACCCTGACTGCTTGACCACCCCAGAATGCCCTGGGATACCTCATCAATTAGGAAAGGACTGAAAACCAAACATCAAGAGATAAAGTAACACAAGCTGCAAAAAATTCAAAATCACCTTAAAACGACGGAGACCATCTGCAAGGCTGGGAGCAAGCTCCTTATCCACCCAGCCTACCATGACGCCATCCAGTAGGACAGGGTAGCACTCACTGTATGATCGACGAGGTGCTCCATCAACAGGAGTGACCCCTGGCAAAGGAAGCAAAGGGACCCATCAGACTTCATCGACATGTGCAAGTCCTATGGTGGGCTCAATGACTGCGCCTTCAGTTTAGGCTATCTGAATGACACGCGTGCATATGTGTCGATTACCACCAAGGACACATAAGAAACTAGTAACTGCCTTCCTGTGATTAGACTGGTGGGCACAGAGCATAAGGGAGGCTTTGCACAGTGTACCTTTTCACATTCTGATTCCTGAGTTGCATAATGCATTACTTTTTCCCCCCAAAATCTGATTAGTATTGATCCTCATTATCTGCAGATTCCACATTTGGAATTTCGTCTGCTTGCTACATTTTATTTGTAGCCACAAAACTGATACTATGGACACTTCTGAGGTCATGCAGCAAAAGTTGAGTTGCTTGATGCATACACTCTGCCCTCCTATCTCAGCTCTCCCACTGGAAACGTGTGCTTTCAATGTTTGCTCAATGCTACATACTTTGAATTTTTGTTTGTTGGTGGTGATATGTGGAATGACCTTCAAGTATAATGCTGTAATGCAGCCCAGTGTTCCTAAGTGTAAGGCTGTGACAGGCCTTACAGAGAATGTGTGTTAGTTAGAGAGGCTTATAGTTAGGAGTCTGTTGGCTGAGTGTTCAATGTTAGACTCATGATAACTGAGCCTCACAGCTCCCCTAGGAGCAATGGCTCATATGGGCTAGCTCAGCGTTGGCAGTACGTGTAATAGAGCACAAGGACCACAAAAGACATAATCAACTATAATTAAGTGAAAAAGAATTTCCACACATAAGTGCCTTGGGAAAACAGCAAGTGTTTTCTTAAGTGTCACAGGTTACCCACTCAGTGTTTCAACTGTCACCCAGACTGGCCCATCCAAATTCTGCCTCTACTATTCTTCCTCCCCAGTGCCACAGCAAAGAGCCCTTCCCAACTCCTCTACAGCAGGATGTACCTCTCTACTTCTACCTTTTGTCCTTTCTTCCTTCTGGACTTTTTTTGGGGGGGGGGCAGGGTGGGGAGTAGCCCAGGCTTACTTTGACATTTTTTAATCACTGTTAGAAAACAAAATTATTCTTTTCCTTGCAGATAGCAAATGGACAAATTACACTGATTATACTGTCTGACTCTTGACCATTTCCTGATTACTTTCTCTAAAGTTCTTTTCTCAATGGTTATTCTCCAATTGGGGTAAGTACTTTACACAGTCATTTCCTGACCCGTGACTCAAAGCATGCACCATATGAACTCTATGAACTGGAAGTTGTACTATAAACCTTAATCCACTGGAAACCCCACCCATAGACTATCCAAAACACACTCTGGTTTTCACATCAAACTGGAGAATTCCAGGACTAGAAGGCTGTAGAATGCCTGAAGGTAAACTCCATTCAGGTATCCGACCTGGAAGAATAGCCTGAGCCAGCTTTCTGGCCAAAGTAGCAGCTGCAACACTCCCAGGAGCAGACGTCATCTATCTGGTGACATTAGGTATAATGGACATGCTCCTTTTTAACTGAATCCCTGCCAATCGACATTGTTTTCTACTTAGAACTGCAAAGGCTCACATCAGAGGTAAGGAGAGCAACTCAGAAAGTCACAGTTGGGTCTGTACTTTGATACCAGCTATTGGCCTATTTCAAATCTTCCCACTTTTCACTTTGCAGAAAGAAGAAAACACTGATAACACTTAATTTCTTATTAAGTTCATTTCCAAGAATGCATGATAGAATGCAAGACTGCTGGTTGCTCATACCCAGGCTGCAGAGCAAGGCTGGAATAGATGCTGTATACACAAACTGTGTGACGACTTCGCAAATGGCGGTTAGGTGGTTCAGCAGCCCACACGGTGCCCCGTCTGGAGTGTGCACAGGGCAGAGGAAGCCCCAGGACTCCGGCAGCAGCCTGCGCACTGTGGTAGTCCTCATCTTGGCAAAGTCAGCCCCTCTGTGCACACAGCGGAAATGGGAGAGGTACCGAATGAAGTTCAGCTTGTCAGCCACAACACACAGGCCAGAATTTTGCAGGAAGCCGAGACCTTTTAACAAAACAACGTCACTCAAAAATAGGCCAAACTTAAAACAACAACAAAACCCCAAAACTATCTGCTTTTGAGGTGTTGAAAAAAATCACAAAGCTTCAGGGCTGGAGATGTAGCTCAGTGTTAAGAGAGTTTGCCTACCATGGGTTTAATCCCCAGTATTACCAAAAAATAAAGAAAAAGTGGGTTATTGTAGCATGCATTAGCATATACTGTGTTAGTTCTGCTAAGTGAGAGTGCTAGGAAATTACACAAGTACTTGCTGGAGTGCTAACAAAGGAATCTGTATCAGCAGTCTCTGTTAGAAAAACAGATTTCTGGACCCCAATTCCTGTTTTTAAGTTTCCTGATTCATTTCAATGCAACCGGTTCAGGGAGGGAAACATATACAACCTTTCCAGACTTCAAACCGACTTCTTCCAACACTAAGTGGTCTTTAGCAAGGAAATTTGGTCACTGGAACTGAATTTAAGTAAACAAGACACTTTGTTGGCAGAAATTTGTTAAAATTTACCCTAACATGAAATCTAACATCAGTGAAGGTGAGTTTGCTCTTAAAGCCCTGGCAGCATGTTTTTACATTATGTAGATAATTTGAAAAATAAATAAAATAAGGCCTAATTTTACCTGTTTTCGAACGCAGATTCCCAGTAGCAAGAAGATATTCAAATGGCCTTGTTACCTCTGTTCCCATACTAAAAATCTTCATCAAATTTTCATTATTTATGGACACATTGGTCTTCTGAGCCCTTTTATCTAAAGCTATTTTAATAGACATTAGCCAATTTTCCATTTTTTCCTGAAAGAAGAAAATGTTAAAGTTACATGCTTTAAAGATTTCAAATTTTGTATTTCCTACCACATAATCTATATAATCCAAAATAAAAGCCCACTGTTTGTACACGTGATGTGCGACACATCTATAGCACAAGTCTGAAAGGTAGCTTTTCAGCATACAAATGCAGGTGAGGCATTTCTGAAGACAGATACAAGAACTCAGATTGGGGGCTGGAGAGATGGCCCAGTGATGAAGAGCACATTGTGCTCTTGCAGATGACTGGAGATTAATTCCCATAACCCATGAAACTCCAGCTGCAGGGGATCCAATGCCCTTTTCTGGCCTCTGAGGGTATCTACACTCATGCATACATATCCACACATAGACACAGACACATATACACAATTAAAAATAAAATAAACTATTGTTTTTTAAAGCAGTCTAGAGGCTGAAGAGATGGCTCAGTGATTAAGAGCACTGGCTGCTCTTGCAGAGGGCCTGGGTTTGATTCCTAGCACCCACATGGTGGCTAACAACCGTCTGTAACTCCAGTTCCAGGGGATCTGAAGCCCTCTTCTGACCTCCACAGGCACTGCATGAGATGGGTGCATTTACATACATATAGGCAATACACTCATACACATTAAAAAATAAAAATAATAAAATATATTTTTTTAAAAAGTAGTCTATAGGGGGGAATGGATGGGGGTGCTGACAGCACAGTGGACAGTGGCAGGGATAGCAGAGTATGGAGGCTCTAGTGGGAGAGGAAGGCTGTCTACCTGACGAGTTTGTATTCATGCTCAGATGCCGAGGAGCTCAGAAGGTGGGTGACTATGACCAGTGATAGTCATGTATATAGAGATTAGAAATGCATGTGAAAACGTCTCAATGTCAAGAGCCCTGGAATGAATTTTTCTGTATGAAACTGTGTGTTTTGACAACGAAGTGGAGATCTTTTTTAAACGTTGGAACCTCATTTAATTTTATGTCTTATAGAGTTTATAATGAGTAAAAGATTATATAAGCGTAATAATTCATCTGTAAACCTAGAAATGTACAGCCAATTTTGAAAGAGATGTACCCTAGCTCAGAAAAATGTTATTGAATAGGTTAATGCTGTTGTAATGAAATGCTTCTTTTAATTAAAAAAAAAGTAATATAAAAAAAAAAGAAATTCCTATAAAAATTTCAGTCAAGGCATAAAGGAATTCCTAGATGTCATTCTTCCTCCTAGGAAGTTCTCAGCTAAGGATGATTTTGTGCCCAAGGGAAACCTTTGCCAATGTCTGCAGCTTTCTGTAATTGTCATGATTTGGGAGACTGGCCCAATTAGCATCTACTGTGTACAAGCCAGACATGTTGCCAAACACCACGGACTACACAAGACAGTCCCTGAACACAAGATTTGACCCCAGTGTCAGTAGTACCATGGTTGGAAAACCTTGTTCAGAAATTTGAGATTATAATCCAGGGCTAGCATCTTTTATGGTCAATGAAAATGAAACTGTGAATGTTTGTTTAAAATACTGTTTATACTGAGTACAATATTGTATAACTGTAATAATTCAACCATAAACCTAAAAACGTATAGCCAATTTTGTAAGAGATGCATATTAGCTCAGAAAATTGTTATTGAATATGTCAGTGCTGATGTAATGAAATGCTTCTTCTAAGTATGTGGTTATTAAATAAATAATTTTAAAAAAAAGTAGTCTAGATCAGTGTTTCTTAGCACTCTGACTGTTATGGTTAGAGAGTTCTTTGGGGGACAGGGGATTATTCTGTCCTCTGCAGGATGTATAGCAGCATTCCTGGTCTCTAACCCTGCAAGTTGATAGGGCTCAGATCTAGGTGACCGAAATGCTTCTTCTAAGTATGTGGTTATTAAATAAATAATTTTAAAAAAAAGTAGTCTAGATCAGTGTTTCTTAGCACTCTGACTGTTATGGTTAGAGAGTTCTTTGGGGGACAGGGGATTATTCTGTCCTCTGCAGGATGTATAGCAGCATTCCTGGTCTCTAACCCTGCAAGTTGATAGGGCTCAGATCTAGGTGACCCCAGACCCAGAAACCATGAGGCTCCTCAGAGAAGCTGAGTCAACCAACTCCCAGCCACCTGTTAACAAAAGCAGCCCCTGGGAAATTAATGACCAATGTATTGTGATCACCAGAGCATGCCCCACAGGCTGACAAACAGGTTTCCCAAATCCTTAGCTGCAGTTAATTCCTGGAACTCTTGTAATTGTAAAAAAAAAAAACAAACATGTTTTACAGTAGCTGTATTCCCCAATATGCTTCACCAGGTACAGACCCCACGCCCTCCATTGAGGAAGCAGCCCCCAAAACAGTCCCAAACAGCAGAAAAACACTCCCCTTTTCCTCGTTCTTTCCCTTTATAAGCTACCTCTCTGCAGCCCTTAGGCTGCTGGTTCTTCCTCACACCTGAGTTGAGGACCAGCCCCGCCAAACCTAATTAAACTCTTGCTTTGCCAGAGTCCTCTTTGCTTCTGTTTCATGGGGATCCCAACCCCTGCCACCTTTCAAGCTAACAGATGGTGCCGTGACTCGGGTCACTAGATTCTATTAGGGTCTGGCGGTGAGGACTCCGCCAGATACCAGCTCTGCACTCACCACCGATTCAGCCACTGGGTACTCACTCCCCTTCCCTGTCCCTCCTCTCTCCCTCTCCCTCTCCCTCTCTCTCTCTCTGCTGCCTCATATCCTGCTGCCACCCTCCATCTCTCTACCATTTGGCACTCTCCTCATCATGACCATCAGTCATTCCCAGGCTCAGAACTTCAGCTACTGGGCAGCATGGGCCTTGGTGACCATTGAGTGTCCGGCACGGTTGCTGTGTCTGCCTAAGCCCACCTGATGGATAGACCCATCTGTCCAATGCTCCCAAATCCCTCTCCTGGCCTCCCCCCCCCTTTCTTCTTTGTGCCATACAGTCCCTGGATCTCCTGTTCCTCATTAAATTGTACTGGTACGTCAGGAGATCCCACGTTTTCCCCTCCCTAGTCACGGGATGCTGTTTCTAGGGACCTTTTGACACTCTCATTTTCAGGACCCTCTCCACAGAGGGACACCTCCCTGGATGTCAGTCTCGCATGACAATTTGGCACACCTATTCTCTTATGCCTCTTTCCTCTCTTGTTCTCATCCTCTCAGTCTTTCTCCTCCTTCTGGTACTTGTCTTCCTAGTCAGCCTCACTCCCAACCTCCTCTTTCCCTGGAGACGCCCATAAGCCTCCCCCTTTCCCCTCTTTATCTCTCATCTCCTCACACTCACTGTCCTTTTCATTCTCTTCCTCATCACTTTAATTAAAATGGGAAACCTCAATTCTAAACCTACTGGACTCACCCCCCCCCCTTGCCTCTTAAATTCTTTAAAAACTTTAGATCTTCTGGACACTGTCAGACCTAAGTGCCTCAAATGTCTCTGCACCACCGCCTGGCCACAGTATAAGCTAGACAATTGTTCTGTCTGGCCAGAGACAGGAACCTTAGATTTCAATATTTTAAAGAGATTTAAATAACTTCTGCCAACGTCCAAACTCCCCTATGTTGGCACTCCCCTATGCCAGCAAATGGTCCAAACTCCCCTATGTCCAAGCTTTCTTTGTTCTTCGTGCCTGACCCTCCCTCTGTACTCCCTGTCAGACACACCAGGTCCTCTTGGCAAGGATCCCTCCTACTGACAGCAACCCTTCTGCCCCTCCTCCTCCTTACTTCCTCAATCTGCCTTTGATCCTGACCTGGCCTATGAACAGGCCCCCTCGACAGCCAATACCCTCTTCATCATCCCCTTCCTCCTCTGCTCCCCTTCCCCACTACCCCTCCAATTCTCCTACTGCAGCTGCTGCCTCCACCACTGGGGATGCTGCAACCTGCTTTCCTGCTGCACCCCCCTCCACTCCATCCCCCACACCTCATTCGCCTCATATGACATTCCTGAAACACTTACTGGACTCTACTGAACACCTTGCTTCTTCAGTTGCCTAGGCAGCTTCCCCACATCCTTCAACTAATGAAAAGTCAACTCCTCTGTCCCCTCCTTCACCGCTCCCCATCTCTCACTGCACTCGCTCACGACCTCAACCCCCTAACCCCATGGGTCTCTACCATCTCTGTGAGATAGCTGGGGTGGAGGGAATTGTCAGAGTTCATGTCCCTTTCTCTCTTAATGATATGTCCCAAATAGAAAAAAGATTAGGATCCTTCTCTACAGACCCAGCCCGCTTCATTAAAGAATTCAAATATTTAACCCTCAGTTATGACTTGACCTGGCATTACATCTTTGCCATCCTCCAATCTACCCTGACCTCTGCTGAGAAAAATGGGTTTGGACAGTGGCCCAAAAGTACGCCAATGAACTTCATGTAACTGATGGCGATTCTCCTGCTGGGACTCGCTGTCCCCAGCCAGGACCCAGGATGGAACTATCAGGATGGAAGAGATGGGAAAAAGGCTCGTGAATTTATGATTGCTTGTCTTCTTACAGGATTAGGAAAAAACCTCCCATAAGATTGTCAATTTTGATAAGCTAAAGGAAGTAACCCAAAACCCCTCTGAAAACCCAGCATAGTTTCTGGCTAGACTTACTGAGGCCCTGAGGCAGTACACCAGATATGATCCAGATTCTAGAAATAGCAGGTTTATGCTTAACCCCCCAGTATGGGCTGGAGCTGTAATCCTAGGCTTTTGTTATAAAACAAAAGCATCACTAGCCCACTTCCTTAACCATCATTTCATCTCACAATCTGCACCTGATATTAGAAGAAAACTTAGAAGGCTAGAAAGGGGCCCAGACAACCCCAGGGAGATCTGTTAGAAATGGCATTTAAAGTCTTTAATAACCAGGAGGAACAAGCTAGGACAAATTTGCCTTGTCTAAACAAAAATACCAGCTGCTGGCCAGAGCTCTAAGGGCTCCTCCAAAGAAGAAAATCTCCGGCTCTACTGCGACAGAACGTCAGCCGCCAGGACCCTGCTTCAGATGTGGACAGACTGGACACT